GTCAGCAGCTTGTGCTGTTGAGCGAGGAGGCGGGTCAGCTCGCGGTGCTGGCACCTCACCTGCAGCACGCAGTACTTGCCGCCCTTCTTCTTCTTGAGGACCTCGAGCGCCTCGTCCGTGTAACCGGGTGCGATCACGCCGTCCGAGACCTGCCCGGTGGTGCGGACGGGTCATGTGACGGGTCAGATGGGTCACGCATGCTGACCCCAGCTGAGACAGACCACGGCCATCTGGCTGCCGCAGAAAACAGCAAACCAACAGATGCCGATGTCCCGAAGTCAGTGCACCACCAACAAGGCAACATTGCTACCATAAGCGTGGTGATTAGCGTGGTAATTACTCGGGTCTCGGGCACCGCGACTGTACCACACCTCCATGACCACGCACCTCCCTGCTGATGACCCGCGCCGTCGGCAGGTCACACGTCTCCGAGAGCGCGATGAAGTCGCCGAACGAGGACATGCGGTCGGCGCCGCGCGCCCGGGCGTACGCGGCTGCCAGCGGCGTCAGCGTCTCGGTCAGGTCCGACACCATGTTCACCTGGGCCTGCAACGGGGCGCGGTGATCGGATTCACACGACGGAACGGACGGCAGCTGCCAGCATCGGAGGGCCGAGAGTGCACTGCCCGCATCGGTGGGTCGAGAGTGCACAGCTCGCCCACCCCGCCATGGACGGGTAAATCAGGAGGCAGCCCCAACAAATTAGTACAAGACGACGAAATGAAACGAAAATGAAACATATTACAAAGAATCTTATTTTGGAACTGGCGGAAACTTGCTTAATAACTCTCATCAATAAAACAGTTCTCCGATAGCCTCTATTAACGCCCGCTTCACGGCAGCTGGCTCTAGCAGGCAAATGGCCAACACTAGCAGCCAAACAATCCCTTTGGCAGCCGTGTAGTTTCCTATCAAGCCATGAAAGCTTCAACCTGCCCCAGCTTTGAGAAGAACGTGAGTGAAAAAGAAATCGGCCTTTACAACCTCAGCGAGCACCAGCCGGCACTGGACCTCGACCTAGGAGAGCGGCAGACCGACAGCGGCTTCAGCCGGCACTGACCTCGACCTCGGAGAGCGGCAGGCCGACAGCGGCGCCGGCTGGACTGACATGCTTGAAGGAGGCGGCCGCCGGGAGCGCCAGCGCAGTCGTCAGCTCGCGCACCAGTTGGAACCCGTTCAGTGCGTCCAGCAGATTGATGAAGCCGGGCGAGCCGTTTAGCACTGCGGCAGACGCAGGCAGAGCACGGGCTCAGCGAGGGTGACCACGAACACCTGACAGAGTACTGATGTACAGGCAGGGTACACGCACACAACCGTACACGGGCTCAGCGAGGGTGACCACGAACACCTGACAGAGTACTGATGTACAGGCAGGGTATACGCACACAACCGTACACGGGCTCAGCGAGGGTGACCATGAACACCTGGCAGAGCGCTGATGTACCGGCAGGGTACACGCACACAGCCGCACGCGGCCGACACGCGACCGACACAGGCCAGGCGCTCGTGTACCGCCTGCCAAGCCGGGCCAGTCCAGGTTAAAACCCAATTTTTGCTCACCCCACGTGGTTTTCATATGTACACAGACTGAAGATGATAGAGTCAGGGTAAGGCAGCAATGGTGTGCAAGCGCAATATGGCGTCTGGGAGTCATGTCGCGACCTTCCCTGACATTGCACTTAAAACATTCTTGGTTCCGATAACACGGGTGCAAAGCGAAAGGTTTACGATGGTTTTGCTGGTTCCAATTCATCCTAAGTTGTTAAAACATCACTGCCATAAAACGTTCCGATTTCAAGTTAATTTCAACATTGAACTAACTCCGACCGTGACTTCGAGTGATCTTATCGAAAGCAACAGGCACTGTTAAATTCCACGTCCTCCGCACTTCCACCTCCAGAAACAATGAATAAGGAGATCTGGTGCGCGCATAGCTCAGAATGCGTCACGAAATGCCGATTCTCTACGTTTTTGGCGCGAAGAGCGTTGAAAACGAGGTCGCCCGTTACAGTGCCAGTGTTCGCCACCAATCCCAGCTGCAATACCGTTACACTTTCAGCCATCTACCACAAGAATTCAGCTTACGACCAGTCCCGCTCGGAGATTGGTCCGAGCCGCGTCCCAAAATCCGCTACGCTAGCAAACGGGTCCGAGAGACGGGACTCTTATCCGCTCCGCGGCGGGGTCTGGGTGGCAGGTGACTGGTCCCTTCCGCCCGGCGCCGCGTCCGTGTGACGGACCACTGGCTCCCAACGCCTGTGGACGGATCCAAGCGGCCCCCCTCACCAGCAGGCTCCCCTGGCTCCCCGCGGGCCCGCAGCATCCGAGGCGAGGGCCCGCAGCCAGTGCGTCACTGCCAGCCCGGGCCCGACACGGCCAGCGCGTCACCGCCGGCCCGGGCCCGACACGTGCCGGCGCGCCGCTCACCCGTCAGCGGCAGCTGGCCGTCCGGTCTGAAGATGAAGGCCGGCTTCTGGTGCGGGTTCATGCCGTAGCGGAGCGTGAGGGCGCGCTGCGGATCCGGCAGCTGCTGGCACAGGTAGCTCGCGATGGTCTCGTCGTAGCCGGCCGTGTGCAGGAACGCCTTCAGCGCCAGGCGCTCTCTGTCGGACATAGCCACCGGTGACGAGCGACGCTGGGGCACGAGCTGGCCGCCTCTAGCGACGACCGCAGCGCCGCCACCGCGAGAGGACGCTCAGAGCTCCCAGCTCAGTGCGATGCACGGCCAATGAGATGGACGGCAGTGAGTGGCTTGTGCGATCACACATGCTGTTAAGTCAAGCAGATATGCACAGCTCGGCTCCAGTGCAATGCATGGCAAGGGCCGCTCCCGTTGAAAAAAAAAACCTTAAGTTACCTTCGGATTAGCAGAAAGAAACAAAGTGAGTAAAACAACTTCAAATATCTTGAAGTCCACTTGGCAACAGTTACGTTGATTCCGAGTGAGAGAAACGCGAGAGAAATTTTCGGCTGGGTGTGCGAACTGCACCAATACCCTCAGTGTCTCAGAAGGCGACCGCAAAACAACTGCATCAAGCCAACACTCGTCACGCGGTCCAGTCGCCCAAACTGCCGCCATAAGACGCCCTGCCAACTGGACTCAGACTCGGTTTCACCAGGTTCGCGGCACCAGTTCTCGAAACTAAAACTCGGACACCGC